CTTAGGAGCAGCCAAAGGCATTATACTCCCTTTTCAATTAATGAGGCAACTATTTTATAATAGGGAGTTAAACCCGTTTTGGTGTTGTGCTTAAATGAGCCCATCCAAAGGACCAAGAGGTTGTGATAAAAAATAGGCGTGTGAGGAGTAGGAAAGATTACTGAACTGTGATCTTTGCAAAGCATAGTAGACCTTGCTTAGAGTTTCTATTGCAGCAAGTGTTAAAGAAGGAGACTAGGAAGGATGAACTGGACCTTTAAGAATGTCCAAAGGGGGATCCAAGTCTCTTGTAATAAGTCTTTTTTTTGAAGCAGAGTCTCACTATATCTCAGTAGGGTGCGGTGACATCATAGCTCACAGCAACCTCTAACTCTTAGACTTAAGTGATTCTCTTGCCTCAGCCTCCCAAATAGCTGGGACTACGGGCGACTGCCACAATGCCCAGCTATTTTTTTTGTTGCAGTTGTCATTATTCTTTAGCAGGCCAAGGTCAGGTTTGAACCTGCCTGCATCAGTGTATGTGGCCGGTGCACTGACCCCAATCTTGTTTGGGTAGTATATAAACAAAGCTATTCACACAGTTCCGTGCTGGCTGCAGTCATCAGCTGCACCAGATCTGCCAATCCCATCACGTTTTGGGTGATCTTTCTCTTGTGAGTGTCTTATTTTCCCATTCCCCACCATCCCATTCTGGGTAGAGTTTGTTTACTCTTTGTGCTGGCTAGAGAAAACCTCAGAAACACAAAACCACAGTTCTAATTGAGAATGGAGAGCAAGGTTCTACCCCCTTAATTAAAGTATCATCTTTGCCAAAGGGCCACACTTGCCTGTGCCACACTCAACAATACACTTTCCTGCAGTGTCAGGCAGAGAGAAGGAGGCAGGACCCGTACCCTCCAGTGCACAAACCCTCTCATAATATGGCTAGTAGAGTCCATCAACCTCAGCCTTTGTCAGCAGCTCTCCCTGGTGCCACTGTCCCCAGCCCTTTCCCATCTGAGTCTATAAGCCCCCAGTGGAGCAACTACATGCAATGTCATTCCTTCCTTCCTAATAACAAAGCCTGTTCTCCCTTTCTGAGCCTCTAACCCTATAATTCTTCTCATTGAAGAGAAGACCACCAAATTGGCTGGGGATACAGCCTTGAAATCCATTATTTCAAGATATTTTGTTGCACCTTTATAGGAACATTGTGATTAGCAGTTATTTCTGGTACTACACAAATCTCCTGTATGTTCTCTGGAGAGACACATTTGTAGGGGATGCCAAGAATCAGGCAACCTCTGAGCAAGATGATCTGCAGCTGAGGGGTGGACCGTCAGGCCATTCATCCACAGGTGCTCCTGGTGGATGAAAAGCCCGAGCCTTCAGAACGTAGTCATTTGTTAATTACTCCCCTCACCTGTGTTGTACGGTCTCAATAAAAGGCTAGTGTGGAGGTTGCTTGGGGCTACCCTGCAAGAAGGGCTAGCATGCCTCCTACAAGCTTGTACTTCTAATCAGCGTCACGCCTGGTGCCTTCCTGCAGTGATTGAGAAACCAGGGCCATAGGGGCCTGAGGGGTTGTGACACACAGTGCCCAGAAAATGCACAGAACTTGGAAGCTTTTAACCACACCTTCGTCGAGCACCAGAAACTTTCTTAAAAAGCCTTCTCTCATGATATAAAATTAATGTCGAAAGTCAGTAGTCTTTGTATACACCAGTAACAGCCAACCCTTCACAATAGCTTCATAGAAATGAAATACCTAGGAATATACCTCACAAAAGAGGTGAACAACCTCTATAAAGAAAATTACAAACTCCTAAGAAAAGAAATAGCAGAAGATATTAACAAATGGATTCTCATGGCTGGTAATAATCAATATTATTAAAATGCCTATACTTCCCAAAGTAATCTACAGATTCAATCCTACTCCCATTAAAATACCTACATCATATTTTCAAGACTTGGAAAAAATAATTCTTCATTTACAGCTAAGGAGACAACTACCAAAGCAAATAGACAACTTACACAATGGGAAGGATATTTGCATACTTTGAATGGGCCAAAAGCTTGTTAAATAGGATCTACAGGGAACTCAAAATAATCAACAGAAAAAGAGCCAACAAAGCCTTATGTCACTGGGCAAGAAAGATGAATAGAACCTTCTCTAAGGAAGATAGATGAATGGCTCACAAATGTATGAAAAAATGGTCATTGTCTGGGAGGTACCTATAGCTGAATGGGTAGGGCTTTGGCCCTAAATACCGAGGGTCAAGGGTTCAAGCCCAGCCCCGGCCAAAATGCAACAAAAAATGACTGGGTGTTTTGGTGGGTGCATGTGGTCCCAGGTGCTTGTGGGGGCTCAGGCAGGAGAATTGCCTAGGCTCAGGAGTTGGAGGTGGCTGTGAGCTGTGATGATACACCACTTTATGGAGAACAAAAAAGGGACACTATGTCTCTATAACAAAAAAAATGCTTATCGTCCATAATTATTAGACAAATGCAAGTCAAAACCACCCTGAATATCATCTAATTCCAGTGAGAATGGCCCACATCACAAAATCTCCAAACTGCAGATGCTGGCGGGGATGTGGACAGAAGGGAACACTTTTACACTAATAGGGGGACTGCAACCTAATATAACCTTTGTGGAAGGAGGTATGAAGAATTCTCAATTCAAATTAGACCTCCCATTTGATCCTGCAATCCCATTACTGGGCATCTACCCAGAATAAAAAAAAAGTACTTTTATCATAAGGACACTTGCAGTAGACTGTTTATCGTACCTCAATTTACAATCATGAAAATGTGGAAACAGCCAAAATGCCCACCAACCCAGGAATGGATTAACAAGCTGTGGTACATGTATACCATGGAAGACTCTTCAGCCATTAAAAAAGATGGAGACTTTACATCTTTTGTATTAACCTGGGTGGAAGTAGAACACATTATTCTTAGTAAAAAATCACAAGAATAGAAAAGTAATAATCCCATGTACTAAATTCTGATATGAGGACAACTAATGATTTGGTACATGGTGGCGGTGGGGGAAAGGGAGAGCAGAGAGAGGGAAGAAAGGAGGGAGGTGGGGGGGTCATTGTGTGACACACCTTTTGGGGGTGGGGCACAATTATAAGAGGGACTTTACTGAACAAATGGAATCACTGTAACCTGTTTCTTGGTACCCTCAATGAAACCCCACGAATAAAAGAAAAAAAAAAACCCTTCTATCAAGCCTGCTGTGGTGGCTCACGTCTGTAATACTAGCATTCTGGGAAGCCAAGGTGGGTGGATTACCTGAGCTCAGGAGTTGGAGACTAGCCTGAACAACGAGATAGTGAGACTCTACCTCTACAAAAATAGGAAAACAAGCAGGGCATTGTGCCGGGAGCCTGTGCTCTTAGCTACTCAGGAGGCTGAGGCAAGAGGATTGCAGGAATCCAGGAGTTTGAGGTTGCACTAGGTTAAATTTTTATCCATGGCAAATGTGAGACCTGTGCCTAGGCCATATCTTGAAGCATAGACTGTAATGCATAGAAAAGACAGGATTCAGGTGGGAGATTCAGGTCTTCAATGGCCAGGGATAAAAATGTGCCTGTCTGTTACCTGTAAAACAACAAAGGGTATCAAAGAATTTTTCGAATTTCTCAATGGGAAATCTCACCTTGCCTTGATAAAGAGCAATGACAAGAGTCGTAATGTAACACATGAGTGCTGCCATGGGAAAGCCTCCTTGGACATGATGCCAAATGGTCACAGAGGATGTAAGTCTAGCTACAGAGATTATCAGTGAAGTCAATTTCATTATGTTCTCCTAAAATCTCTGAGATAGTCCATGACTACTTAGGAACTCCATAATTTGAAGTTATTTTACAACAAAAGGAGCATAACAACCAGTAGCTATATAGTGCCATTTCATCTAATAGTAGCAAAATCAATAGTCTGCCTCTACTCATGTAATTCATATATTTGAACTCCAAATCCTGGTCTGGATATGGCCATGAGAATCCACTCTCTTCACACGACTTGTATAAGGAAGAGGCATGAGAAAGCTCTTTAAGGCAAACTGGAGTGTGACATGGAATACTGTGCACCAAGAACCTGAAGCATATTATCCTTCTCTCTGGAGCGAACACACTCACTGTCTACATGCCACAAGAGACTGAGTGACAAGGCTGGCCTCGGCATGAACTCCTGGGGAAGATCCAAGATACCAAATGTCCTACGTGAGAGCAGTGGAGGTCCACGTTCTCTTCCATTGAGGGCCTGGATCCTTGAGACTGCCACCAATTATTGAGATCTTTTGCCATTCTCTACTGTATAGATTCTTCTTAAATTCCATTACCCAGTGCAATTACCCATCAAAGTATGCCTTTTTGACTCCCCTTCAGCCCCTCATCCATGAACAAAGCAACTGAGGAAAATGCAAACCAAGGAGACCCAAGATGAATGTGCCATCTCATAAGTAAATGACACTACATGTAACATTCCCTGAGTAAGAGGGAGGAAGCATCACAGCTACCTGAAGTTTCACAAGGGCTTGTGAATAAGAAACAACCCATCCTTGGCCATCATCATAGTTTTTGGTTAACAAACATGGGTTTGGCTAAAGATTTTCCATATATCTTAGAACTCAGCTTTCTATTGGGTAGGAAGAAAGTATGACTGCCATGTTCCACAGCTTTAAAAATAATTGAACCAAGTAGAGGCATAAATCAGATGACACAGACAACAATGTGGTGCATAAAAGGTAGACATTTTAGTCTCTAGTCTCAAAGAACTGTGGAATTTGACCTAAGCTATGTAAACTTCAGGATCTGTGATGCCACCTTCTCTAGGACATTTGTACTGACAGCAAAGTAAAGGAAGTAGAGGGACCCACTGACCCTAAAGTTTAGAAGTGACTGGGAAAACACCTTAGAATAGTGCATGTTTCTACTTAGCACGTGACTACCTTTTGTCACACTGTCAAATGTCTTCGCCTGAATTTTAATGAAGAAATCACCACACAGAAAACAAATGAGTTACAGAGAGAAAGAAAGAGCAGAAACCTCTCTGGCATGACCAGTTAGGAGGCCAACTTCAGTCTGCACAGTTGACACGCAATAGATGTCTGATCCATCCCTAGGAATCAGTCCTGTCATCCTCCACGCAGGGGTCTGTGGTAGTCAGAGCAGAACATGGATCAGGAAAAGGAAAAGCCTTGGGTCCATGGCTGACTCTTCCTTCACAGCCTGGTTAAACGGTGTTGTTTCCAAGGAGATACTCCAGAAACCCCTGAGGAAGCTTGCTGGCTCTGAGAAACAGAAGACATTTAAATGATGTTATGGCCAGCTCTAGGGAGTGTGGCTGATGTAACACTTGACTTGTACAATATGCATAATGTCACAGTATAATTCCCATTGTGCAAATGGGAATTTGAATTTGAAGCTGAGACTCAAATATGATAGTGAGAAAGGGCCATGGGACCCAGATAGTGGACACTGTGAATGAGACAGGCTGTGTGCTCCCACCAATATCTGCAAAGGAAAGAACAGGCCAGCAATGCATGGCAGGGTGAAGATGTAAAGCACTGACTGATTCATTACTTGCATTGTCAATCTGTGTCTCCAAGACTCTGAGTAAATAAAGGTCTTCCCTCCATGTTGGAGGTAGACTGGCGGATGACCAATGTCTACCAGCTACTTTGTCTGGGGGTCCCACATTTTTCCTTGTCATAGATACACATTGCTATACATCACCTTCATGTTGGTGTTCTTGCATCACAAATAAAAAGGCCTCTGAGCAGCATTCGATAATGCCCAAGTTCCTGGAGTTGATTTTTCACCATATATTCTAATTCTTCCTGCTGCTGCTTGTTACTGCAAAAGTCTCCAAATGGGATGGTTAGGTCAAAACACTGAAGGTTAAATCCGTAAATTAAGGTTTTTTCAATGATAACATTCAAAAACACTCACTTTCCCTATGCCCTTAGTGAACAGGGGAGCACTGCTGATGCCTGCAAAAAGATTTCAGTCCCTAGCAGAGTCTATCTCACTAAGTTCATTAGCATTGGCCATGAACAGACCTTAACATTCCTGGTAGTTCCCAGCTTAGGCACTGGAAAGAGGTTTCAACATCTTCCTAAATGATGGTACAGCTGACAGGAGATGGGTGCTGCCCTCTGCCCACCATCTGTCCCCTCACAAAGGACAAGGTTGTTCTTACCTGTCTTTCTACTCTCAACAGTTCCAATTCCACACTAGTCACATAGGCTCACATTCTGACCAGTCCTGGACTTTCCCACCACAGGTCCTGGAGATGGTGACTGTCCATATCTGCAAAGAAAAGGGGCGGCAGCCTAGCACCAATGGGGGTGCACATATGGAACCTTACAAGATAGGTGGCTGGGACACAGGTCTTACTACCCTTATGAAGAAGAGCTTCTGAAAGTACCTGGTGTGGGCTGAGCACACAATGATGCAGCCCGTGCCAGGTAGGCCAAATGAGTGAAATACAAAGTGAAACAGAGAAGGCATGAACGGTACCACCAGACCAAACAGCACTGCTGTACAGAGGGCCCACTGCCCCTTTCACATAGGTCATCTGGGAGCAGGTCAACAGGAGTAGCCTGTTCCAGACAACTCTTTTTCTGCCCAGATTCTCCCTTGACCACATTCGTGATTACTTGCGTGCATAGAGAAATCTATAAAGTCATTGATTTCCTGTGGAAGAAAACCAGGAAGCCATGAGAAACACGACATTGAAAGGAAAAGAGTATATGAAATACACAATTTTGCTTCAAATATAAAACGGTACAACATGACATGCAAATGTCCTGTACACCCAGATAACTGACAGCACTCAATTCGACAGTGAATTTATTTATTTGTAAATGGCAAATTTCCCAAAATTTTCAAAGCAAACTTATGCAAATCACTGGAGATAGGATTGAATTTAATAATGTGATATTAAACAGGCACTTCTTTTGAAAAAGGAAATGCCTAGCAATGTGCAAGGTGACAGTCGGGCAATACTTCTGGGCCTTCACTGCCTCAAAACAAGCACCTGATAAGTCCATTACTGCGGTTTTACAATGAAAAGGCAACCTGACTTTCTTCAGTGTGGTACATCGATGAAATGACATACAGGAGAACTAAAACCTCCACAAATACAGTGATACTAAAATAATCTGATGGTAAAATAAAGTGACAGTTCAGGCTAGCCAGGAACTAGTGGACAGAACTGCCCTAAAGTAGGAGGCACAAAGTCAATGAAAACATGATATATCTTATGTGTACATTGAAAATAACAGAAACACGTTTTTACTCAAACTGATTAAAAGGCGCAGGAACACATGTAATTGATCACACTGATAACAAATACTCAAATCTCTGTGAAGTAAATCCCCACCCTGCGTAACAGCAGCCAAGGACCTGAGTATTTACCATCATAAAATAGCAAGAAAGCAGCCCACTGAGTAAGTTCTGCAGGGACCAATCACTCATTCCCAAACGTTTACTTTCAAGTTCATTTACAAATCCACCGACAGATGGTACAAGAAAAGTAAATGAATGAAGTACATTTATCCAGCAAGGACATTACAAGCATATTTTTAATTATGTCAAAAAAGGAATTATAATAGAAATCAAAAGGCTCTCAATAGGTCCTTAATTTCCTCTGTGTGTACACAAAACTTTTCAACGTCCAGGATGATGAGTCCTGGGATCAAAACGTCACTGAATGCAAGGAGGATGAACATCTCACATTAAAGGCCAATCTGGGTCCAAACTTGGATGAAAAAAAAAGCCGCTGACGGACAGCCATGGTCATTGAAAACATCAACTGCTCAGCCAGACAATTTCCTGCAGCATATGCACACTAGAAACACCTGCAGTTGAAAAATATTTTTCCCACAAAGGCAAATGAACATTAAGCACACTCAGAGGTTTGTAAAGTCATTTAAAAAGAACCCAAACAATTATACTGTAAAGGAAAATAAGTAAGACTATCCCTGGGGGCTTCATTCCCCTCAGGGTCTTAAAGGTACAAGCTCCTGCCAAACTGTCCGCTGTTTTCCATCTCCTGAAAGCCTAAATACCACCACGCACTTTAGCTGAATACCATGATATTACAGTACATTTTATACAAGCCCCAAACAGGGTTCCAGGACCATCACAAGGTGATGCCCGTTGTTTAGTTAAGAAGCTTGAAGTCCGCCAATTATTTCACATACAAATGATCTGAAAACTTCATTTTCTTTTAACGATGACAAATGAAGAAGATTCTGAGCTTTAACTAATGGAATTATATTAACTATATGTTAAAAGAAAAATAAAACGACCCTGAAAGGCAGCTAACTGGCGGGGGCTACCATGCGCCA